TTATGGAAACACTTAACAATGTTTGGAGGGTGGGATCCTCCTGGAGAAAATGATCCCAGTGCTCTCAAAACCTCACTTTCCTCCTCTTGAAAGTGGGAATAATTCTAAAACCTACCATATATGGGTGCTGAAAGGGTTAAAGGAGTGCATTGATGTGCTGGGCATTTAGCAATCCCTCAATAAATGTTAGCTGTTATTTTTATTATTTTTTGGCTGATTCTTAAGGAACAAGAGTTACCCTGTGTAGGGGAAGGAGAAATAAGGGGTGGGAGAAAGAGCATTCCAGACAGACAGTGTAGCTGGAGCCAGGAATGTAGGTGAGAGACCGCATCATAGGGAAAGATGTAAGCATTTTAAGGTTGTTGAAGTATTAGGTACAAGGCAGACAGGGGCAGGAATGAGGCTGAAGGTAATGGCAGGTCCTCATAAGACTTGCTAAGCATCTTAGATTACTCAGTCTGCTATGGGATACCCCAGAAGCCAATTAGAAGCCAATTAGATAGCCAGCCTGATTCCAGTTATGGACAATTAATAAAGGGACCGTTCTGCAAATAGATAAAAGATGTATGGGATTTTTTTTGCTTTGTAATATGGGACCCAGAAGTCTCAGTGGAAAGTAATGTGAGAATAGGGAACAGGAACTGGGTCACGGAAGAGAAACTAAGTACAGAAAGTATGTTCCAGTAATTAAATTGTGTCAATAAAGAACCAGGCTCAGACCCCATGTAATGATAGAAGTAGAGGTTCAGTGGAGGTGGTAACTCATGGCCTGGCCTGTTGTATATGTCAAGGCCCAAGTAAGAACAGGTTCCACAAGGCCAAAGGTTTCACATATAGATGACAATGTTTGCACAGGAAGACGGCCAAGAGTTGGAAATGCTACGTCTATAATAAGATACAATACTGTAATAACTATTTACTTAAACCTCACTCTCCTCCACTAGATCCAGAGCAACTTAGGGCTACCTGTCTCATCTCTGAATCCCCAGAGAGAAATCTATATCTTCTTTTTATGATTGACAGACTTGATTTTAACTTCATTTAGAAGGAAAGGTGAAAATTTTCAGTTGTTTATATTTTATTGGGAGGCTAAGGTGATATTTACGCAGCATGGCTTTCTACACTGGGCTCAAAGTAATCACTTCAGCAGGTTAGTCCTGATTTTCTCACCTGATAGCACACGAATTTAAAGAAGAGGAAGTCGTTTGAGGAATGTAGGCTTTGCTTATTCAGGTCACTAATGGTGATTATTTATACTTATCTTAGTGGACCCTGAGAAAGACAAGAGCAAATGATGTATGTTAAAGCCTTATATAAATCTCAATAAAATGTGACATATTAATATTCTGGCTATTGCAAGCAGAAGTGGCAGAAGGCATGTAAAAACTTGGTCTTTCAGATTAAAATTTCCAAAGGGCCTGTCTAGCTTCTCTGCACTCCCCCTCGGCCCCCGTGCTTCCTGCAGCCCTTCCCTTCACCACCACCCCCACTTCGGCTGCTCCAGAGAGTCTGCTCCTGTGGGATTTGTACCAGGGAGAGAAGGGCAGATGGAGGAGCTTAGACAGACACATTCCTTCCATCCTCTCCTTATGGTGTCTGGCTATTCCTCACTCTGCTGCTTTGAGCTTCAAAGTCAGAGTGAAATACAATTTCTTTTCTATTTGGTTATCATTACTACATTCAGTGTAAGGTTTCAAATGCATGGAAGATGAGGCTACTCATGAGACATAGAGGCAGGACTCCTGGCATAGATTCGCTGTCTCTTCACAGAAAATTGCCATTCACCCTTTTCCTGAGCTGCAAGATCCTACAGTCTCGCTTTGACGGAGGGCCGTGGTGGTAAGGCAGATCCATTGAGAGCCTTCTCTTATCTCAGGAGGATTTGATGGCAGGAAAATCAGCCCCAGTATTTTCATTGTACACTCTGAGTGGAAGATATTCTAAGGATGAATGGACCTGCAAAGAAATCTTAAAACTCATTCAATGTTTATTGTTGCTATTGATAATTCTGATATCATGCTAAAACTATGTCTATATTTTTTTCGGGATACAACAAACACATTTTTACATTAGTGCTGTTAGAAATCAAGACTTTCTCTTGAAAGAGAAAGAAATATATCTAAAATCAAAGAATTTATTATTTTTTATTTTTTTATGTTTATTGCAGTAACATTGGTTTATAACATTGTATAAATTTCAGGTGTACATCATTATACTTTTATTTCTGCATAGATTACATCATGTTCACCACCAAAATACTAATTACAACCCATCACCACACATGTGCTGAATTATCCCTTTTGCCCTCCTCCCTCCCCCCTTCCCCTCTGGTAACCACCAATCCAATCTCTGTCTCTATGTGTTTGTTTATTGTTGTTATTATCTACTACTTAATGAAGGAAATCATACGGTATTTGCCCTTCTCCCTCTGACTTATTTCACTTTGCATAATACCCTCAATGTCCATCCACGTTGTCACAAATGGCTGGATTTCATTGTTTCTTATGGCTGAGTAGTATTCCGTTGTGTATATATATCACATCTTCTTTATCCATTCGTCCCTTGATGGGCACTTAGGTTGCTTCCAAGTCTTGGCTATTGTGAATAACGCTGCAATGAACACAGGGGCGCATGTATCTTTACACATTGGTGTTTTCAAGTTCTTTGGATAAATACCCAGCAGTGGAATAGCTGGATCATATGGTAGTTCTATCCTTGATTTTTTGAGGAATATCCATACTGTTTTCCATAGTGGCTGCACCAGTTTGCACTCCCAGCAGCAGTGTATGAGAGTTCCCTTCTCTCCACATCCTCTCCAACACATGTTGTTTCCTGTCTTGTTAATTATAGCCATTCTGACAGGCGTGAGGTGATATCTCATTGTAGTTTTGAATGCATTTCCCTGATAGTTAATGATTTTGAACATCTTTTCATGTGTCTGTTGGCCATCTGTATATCTTCTTTGGAGAAATGTCTGTTCAGGTCTTTTGCCCATAAAATCAAAGAATTTAAATAAAAATGAAAGAATACATTGAAATTTTTGGTCTATATTTTCTTTTAAAAGTATGTATTTTCTAATTCTGTCCACTGAAATGGTCTGTAACCAAGGACTACTCAGCATCAATGAGTATGCATAGAGGCAAAATTGTAGTGTCTAAGTACTATTCCCTCATAAAGGAATCAGGGATCTTTTGAGCAATGGCTTATTTTGTGTCTGAGGCAGGTTATGAACAAGATGAGCCTGGAACACTGTCTTGTGCAAGAATTCAAAGAAATTATAAAAGACTAATGCAGCCATGTCAGAAGAACACAGAAGCCTACATGAAGGGTCTCACATTAGCCAAAGATGAGAAAATTTAAGCATCAAAATAATAATCATAGTTGATTGAAACACATTGAATATATAAAAGTGCATGAGTTTATAATGATACTTGAAAAGAGAAAGAGAGATAGAGTGAAATAGAGAAAGAGAAACTTCTCTGAAAAAAAGGAGGAGGTGAAGTGACTAACTTCTGTAGATTAGAAGATATTTATGACATTTAATCACCAAATGAGGCATAAGGATCTTGTTTCGATCATGATTAAAATAAAACCAACTACTGAAAGTTCCTGCCACTAGGGGAACTTTGAATATGGGCCAAGCATCATATAATACTAATGAGTTATTTTTCACTTTTTCAGTTGTGATAATGGCATTGAGATTATGTAAGAAAATGTATATGTGTGTATATATATATATATATATATATATATATATATATATTTTAAAACATATTGGAATATGTCAGGATAATGGCATGATATCTAGAATTTTCTTTAAATACTTGAACAAGAAAAAAGATAGAAAATTATGGGTGAGAGAAGAGTAGCAAAAATAGTGATAATTATTGAATCTGGGTGGAGGTATCTTGGGAGTTCACATACCATTATCTCAACTTCAGTGTTTGGTTGAAAATTTCTAAAAAGAGTCTTAAGTCAGACTGATTCTCTTGTATCGTCAACCATTGAGAATGGCTATCCACTTTACAGTAACACCCCTAATATCTTATGTTCGGGGAAGTAGGAACGAGGCAGGCAAATTTGTACCAGATGACCTTACTTCCATCACTAGAGTCCCACCACTAGGAATTTGGAATTGGGAGAAAAAGAGGAAGTGAAGAGAGACAGAAATAGAGAAATAGAGAATGATGATGAGTCTCTAGATGTGGCTAGCCCTGTAACAGCTGTGTACTAGTGACCATATTCTACTGGTAGGGAAGAGAGAGAGAGTTGATCCAGAAAAAGAATAAACCATACACATAGGGGGCAGACTCAAGAGACAGAGTCCTACTTGGTTCCCCCTTAGTTTTCGTTTCCCGTATCCAGTGCTTTCTGAGTCCTGGCTACATTCTTACCCTTGGGCTATTTATTCCTGTAGTAACCCCCTACCCCTTATCACAAGTTGGTTTGCATGGTTTTTGTTACATGATACCACTGATATATCATGAATACAGCCTATGTAACAAAGTCTATTGTCAAGTCTACTGAAGTATTAGGCCAAATGTCCATTACATAGTCAAACTGATTAGAAGTCGTGTAGATACTGGACAATGTGGGGTCAAAGCCAGAAGATGCAAGTTCATCAGTGCCAGTAGTGCTGGGGGATTTCTGTTGCTGAGGACTTGTGCTGCACTTGTCTTAAAAGTGAATTATTGGGGCAGACCAAGTAGAACCTTTCACTTAATTCCTAACACTGATATGCAGGTAACAGCACTTGGTGGTTTTATTCTTTTCATTTAACTTTGTAAACTATTCAGGGTATGAGGTAAGAGGAGGATTTAACTTTTAAAAAATAGCCAACTGATCATATCAAAACCCTTTGTTAAAGCATATTAGGTTCTTTAAAGTGGGATCTTCATATTTCTCAACTCTTTATGACTTCAAGAACAGAATCAGAGGCAGGCGTCAGGACAAATCAGAAGAAAACAATCAGGGAAGTGGTTGGCAAAAATAATGAGTGTGGGAACTAACAGAGATTCATCATCTGGCTGTTCTTGCTGCAGAACAGGACTTCTGCTCTCTTCTGCCTTCCTCTTTCTTCCTTGGGATCTTCAGGGCAAACCCCAAAAGTCCTGTCAGCATGGGACCTCCTGCTCAGCTTCTCTTCCTCCTCCTGCTTCTCCAGTCTCCAGGTGAGTGGGTCAGAGGCTCTTCTCTGGGGCAGAGGGTCCACATGGGCATTGCCCAGCAAGGTCTTTCCCAAAATTTAGGACCCTATGTGGAAAGATTGTGGGACCAGGCAGACAGAAGAGGTTGAGTGGCTGTAGGACATGAGAGAGAAAGACTGATTAGAGAGTAAAGAAGAGAAAGAAGAAGGAGAAGAAGAGTCTAGGGTACATAGTATTATGACATTGTGAATGTCAGAGTTGGAAAGAATGTGCAAGGCTTTACATTTATCTCCATTGTTTTACAAAGGAAAAGAAGAGGCCTGGAGAAATCAACAGGTTTCCCCCAAAACAGTACATCTAAATAGAGGCAGGATCAGGACTGTCATCGAAGGATCCTTATTCTACACATAGGTAGAGACACCAGAACTGCAATGATATTGAAACCCCAGCTTCAGAGTGGGGAAGCATTTCATAACAGAGGAAGTCATGAGAGTCTAAATTTAGTGCTAAGGAAAAAGAGGGGTGGGCAGGGCAAGGCTGGGTTCTGACTCCCCCTGTGGTCTCCCTTCTGGTCTTGCAGGGCCAATAGGCCTCAGTAGGAACCCAGCCCTTGGGATGGGGAGCAGTGAGCCCAGCAGGAAGGAGAGTTTCAGTGTTGCCCACTACCAGCTCCAGCTACAGCACCACTGCTAACACCTGTTTATGTCCAACATTCCTGGGGGCCCCAACCTGGTAGAGTTGTGACTCACTGGGAGACTTGGGAGTGAGGGAGGGTGTCAGGGACAGTTTTTATAGCCACTTCCTTCTATGTTTATAGAGAACACAGTTTCACAAATGAGCTCCATCCCACCGATGGTTGCCGGGGTTCTGGGGGAGTCAGTAACTCTTCCCCTGAAGTTTCTTGCAGGAGAGGAGATCGACTCCATCACCTGGCTTCACAACGGAACATCTATCATCTACATACAGCCAAATGAAGCATGAACCATGGTGACTGCTCCAAAATGGAAAGATAGACTGAAGGTCACCAAGTCCTACTCCTTGCAGGTCAGCAACCTGACGATGGAAGACACAGGATCTTATAGTGTCCAAATAGTTACAAAGACCTCTACAGTGTTTTCCAGTTACACTCTGAGGATCATCAGTGAGTAAGGGCATAGAGGACCAGTTCCCTACTGGTAAGGGTGAATAGGGCCATCCACTAAGCCTGGGGGTGGGGGCTAGGTGACCTCAGTAAAGGTTGTCCCTTTGTGTCACTCCTGTGACCAGTCTAGAACCTCTCCCAAGTAGATCTTTTTCTTTCCTTTTCTTATTCTTTTTTGTCCTGTTTCATTACCAGCAGATTCTGGCTGATGGTTGTGGTTGTGGCTGATTGAAAACCATCACAAAACTTGCTCCTTCCTCCATTCAGCCCCTGCAAGGCTGGAAAAGGAAGAATCAGGAATCTTTTATCTGAAGGGGTCTGGATTCCTTGCTGTGTTCTCTCCCCTTTATTCTCTGGGTCCTTTCCTCCCGGGATGGCCTAGTAAGGCTCGTTATTGCTGTTTATATCTCTTAAACTATTAAAACCATTGCTTCAAGTAGGGCGGCTGCGAAGGCCTCACATTACAGTGGGTTCTGTCATCTCTGAGAATGGGACCTGTCACACCACCTTGAGGTGTTCTGTGGAGGAAGGAGGAGAGAATGTTATATATGGGTGGACATCAATGGGACCAGGAGCTACTGTGTCCCAGGGAGGATCCACCCTCAATGACTCCTGGAGCCTTGATGATCTGGATTGGACCTACACCTGCGCAGCTATGAATCTTGTTAGCAATAGCACCTCCAGGCTCATCTTTGCTAAGCAGCTTTGTGCAGGTAACTGGCCCCCTCTAGTCTCTCCAAGACTCCTTGGAAATACTTTGATAAGCTTTGAAGGAGGTGGAGAGAGCAGATGAGAGCTCTTGGCACCTGAAAACAACCCCATCCACTTATACACACAAGCTCTGTCTTCTCTCTACTTTCTTTCTTTCAGGTTCCAAGGCAGCTGCAGGCACTTACTGTCCACTGACATGGATTCTGCTGGGGAAGGGACTTCTTCTTCTCATGTTCCTGGCGGTACTAGGAACTTGGCACATCCAGACACAGGTGCTTAGCAAACCCATTATGTCTAACTCAGGGCAATGAAGGCCACCAGTGCCCCAGGAGAGCCTGGATGAGGCCATCACTTCTCTGTTGCTCACTTAAATTACCTTCCTGACCTGTACCCTTTCAAGGTGTAGTACTATGGATTGTCAAAGACCAATGGGATAAAATTTCATATCTTGCATTTGTGAGTCCATGTGCACAATGAGGAAGTTTGGACAAAAAGGGAAACAATAACTGTATCAATACCATATGTTATCTATTCTAAGGGGAAATATTCCCAATAATTTAAGTTTTCTGAAATCAAGATGAGTCATAATATTAATGTGTATAGCTCAAAGGGATAGTGTATTTTTCTCCTGAAATGCTGTTATTAAAATAATATTGCTTTTAAAAATCAATGGTGTCTTAGAATTCTTGAACTACTGTACCTGTAATACAAGGCAGATTTTCATATAGCTGCCTGAATAGAGGCATATCCAGATTAGTGAACTGAAATTTCTAAAGTATGGAGCATTTTAAGTGCACGTTGAAGGATGCTGTTGCTTAGAAGTGAGAGAACAGGAGTAGTCAGGGCTATAATAGCCCATTGGAGTAAAATCATAATCATCAATAAGCCCCTTCTATGGGTTAAGTGCTATAATATGTTGCCTTCCTTAATTATGACCACAACTCTATAAAACGAACTCTCCTATACCCATGTGAGCAATGAAGAAGCTGAGCATAAGAGGGCCTAAGTAACTTGCCCCCACTCACACCTCTGTAAGTGATGAAGCCAGATAAGTTAAGTGACTGATGTAGGTGGATTAGTAAGGTAGGTTATAACACTTATATATGCACCTAACACAAGAGCACCAAAGTACATAAAGCAACTATTAACAGACCTAAAAAGAGAAATTAAGAGCAACACAGTAATAGTAGGGGACATCAACACCACACTTACATCAATGGATAGATCACCCTGACAGAAAGTCAACAAGGAAATAGTGGAATTAAATTAAAAAGTAGACCAGATGGACTTAATAAATATATATAGAACACTCCATCCAAAATCAGCAGAATACACATTCTTCTCAAGTGCACATGGAACATTCTCGAACATAGACCATATGTTGGGAAAGAAGGCAAGCCTCAATAAATTTAAGAACATTGAAATCATATCAAATATCTTTTCCTACCATAATGCTGTGAAACTAGAAATCCACTGCAAGAAAAAAGCTGAGAAGGTGGCAAGGGGTGAACACTAAACAACATGTTCCTGAACAACCAATGGATCAATGAAGAAATTGAAGAAAAAATCCAAAAATATCTGGAGACAAATGAAAATGAATATATACCATACCCACTCATATGGGATGCAGCAAAAGCGAACATAAGAGGGAAATTCATAGCAATACAGGCCCACCTTACAAACAAGAAAAATCTCTAATAAGCAATCTTAAACTCCACTTAGCAGAAATAGAAAAAGAAGAACAAAAAAAGCCAAAATTTGGCAGAAGGAGGGAAATAATAAAAATTAGAGCAGAAATAAATGAAATAGAAACCAAAAACAGTAGAAAGGATCAATGAAACTAAGAGTTGGTTCTTTGAGAAGATAAACAAAATTGACAAACTCTTAGCCAGACTCACTAAGAAAAAAAGAGAGAAGGCTCAAATAAATAAAATTAGAAATGAAAGAGGAGAAATTACAATGAATACCACAGAAATACAAAAGAGTATAAGAGAATACTACGAAAAACTATATGCCAATAAATTGGACAATCTAGAAGAAATGGATAAATTCTTAGACTCATACAACCTCCCAAAACTGAATCACGAAGAAATAGAGAATATGAATAGATCAAGAACAAGTAAAGAGACTGAAACAGTAATCAAAAACCTCCCCCAAAATAAAAGTCCAGAACCAGATGACTTTTCAGGAGAATTCTTGCAAACACTCAAAGAAGATTTAATACCTATCCCTCTGAAACTATTCCAAAAAATTGAAGAAGATGGAACACTTCCTAACTTATTTTACAAGGCCAACATCACCCTGATCTAAAGCCAAACCAGGACAATGCAAAGAAGGAAAATTATGGGCCAATAAACATAGATGCAAAAATCCTTAACAAAATATTGGCAAACCAAATACAGCAATACATTGAAAGGATCATACACCACAATCAAGTGGCATTAATACGAGGGACACAGGGATGGTTCAACATCCGCAAATCAATCAGTGTGATACATCATATTAACAAAGTGAGGAATAAAAACTCCATGATGCTCTCACAGATGCAGAGAAAGCATTTGACAACATCTAACAATGATTTATGATAAAAACTATCAATAAAATGGGTACAGAAGGAAAGTACCACAGCATAATAAAGCCTGTATATGACAAACCTGCAGCCAACATCATACTCAATGGGGAAAAACTCAATGCCATCCCTCTGAGAACAGGAACAAGACAAGGGTGCAAACTCTCGCCAATCTTATTCAACATAGTACTAAAGGTTTTGGCCAGAGCAATTAGGCAAGAAAAAGAAATAAAAGGAATCCAAATTGGCAAGGAAGAAGTGAAACTCTTGCTGTTTGCAGATGACTTGATTCTATATATAGAAAACCCTAAAGAATCCATCAGAGAGCTATTAAAAATAATGAATGACTACAGCAAAGTTGCAGGGTACAAAATCAAGTTACAAAAATCAGTGGCATTTCTGTACTATAATAAGGAACTAACAGAAAGACAACTCAAGAATACAATCTCATTTACAATTGCAACAAAAAGAATAAAATATCTAAGGATAAATTTAACCAAGGAGGTGAAAGATCTATACAATGAAAACTATAAGACACCATTGAAAGAAATCGATGATGACATAAAGAAATGGAAAGATAGTCCATGCACAGGGATTGGAAGAATAAACATAGTTAAAATGTCCATATTACCTAAAGCCATCTACAGATGCAATGCAATCCTAATCAGAATCCCAACGTCACTCTTCATGAAAATAGAACAAAGAATCCTAAAATCCATATGGAACAACAAAAGACCACGAACAGCTAAAGCAATCCTGAGAAAAAAGAACAAAGCTGGAGGCATCACAACTCCTACTTCAAAATATGCTCCAAAGCTATAGTAATCAAAACAGCATGGTACTGGTACAAAAACAGACACACAGATCAATGTAACGGAATTGAAAGCCCAGAAATAAAACCTTACACATACAGACAGCTAATCTTTGACAAAGGAGCCAAGAACATACAACGGAGAAAGGAAAGTCTCTTCAATAAATGGTGTTGGGAAAATTGGACTGCCACATGCAAAAGAATGAAAGTAGATCATTATCTTACACCATACACAAAAAGTAACTCAAAATGAATTAAAGACTTGAAGATAAGATGTTAAACCATAAAACCCCTAGAAGTAAATATGGGCAGTACACTCTTTGGCATCAGTTTTAGAAGCATCTTTTTGAATACCATGTCTACACAGGCAAGGGAAACGAAAGAAAAAATAAACATATGGGACTACATCAGACTAAAGAGCTTCTGCAAGGCAAAGGAAACCAGGAACAAAATGAAAAGAGAACCCAGCACCTGGGAGAAAATATCTGCAAATCATATATCCAACAAGGGGTTAATCTCCAAAAAATATAAAGAACTCATGCAACTCAACAACAAAAATCAAACAGCCCAATCAAAAAATGGGCAGAGGATATGAATAGACGTTTTTCCAAAGAAGATATACAGTTGGCCAACAGGCACATGAAAAGATGTTCCACATCACTAATCATCAGGGAAATGCCAATCAAAACTACAATGAAATATCACCTTACACCTGTTAGAATGGCTATAATTACCAAGACAAAAAAATAACAAGTGTTGGAAAGGATGTGGAGAAAAGGGAACCCTCACACACTGCTGGTGGGAATGCAGAGTGGTGCAGCCACTATGGAAACCAGTATGGATATTTCTCAAAAAATTAAAAATAGAAATACCATACAACCCAGCTATCCCTTTACTGGGTATTTATCCAAAGAACTTGAAATCAACAATTCAAAGAGACCCATGCACCCCTATGTTCATTGCAGCACTATTCACAATAGCCAAATTATGGAAGCAACCCAAGTGCCTATCAACTGATGAATGGATAAAGAAGAAGTGGTATATATATATATGCAATGGAATACTGCTCAGCCATAAAAAAGACGAAACCATCCCATTTGCAACAACTTGGATGGGCCTCGAGGGTATTATGTTAAGTGAAATAAGCCAGGCATAGAAAAACACCACATGATTTCACTCATATGTGGAAGATTAATAAACATATGGACAAAGAGAACAGATCAGTGGTTACCAGAAGGGATGGGGTTGAGGGTGGGCATAAGGGGTAAAGGGGCACATATATATATGGTGACTGACAAATAATAATGTACAACTGATATGTCACAATGTTATAAACTTTTATGACCTCAATAAAATAATGAAAAAAAAAAAGAAAAAGAAACAAAAAACTAAACCAAACTTATAGAAAAAGAGATCAGATTTGTGGTTACCAGAGGTGGGGGGTGAAGGAATTGGATAAAGTAGTCAAAAGGTATAAACTTCCAGTTATAAGATAAATAAGAACTGGGGATGTAACGTACAACAGGATGACTAGAGTTAACACTACCATATGATATATTTGAAAGTTACTGAGAGAGTAGATCCTAAGAGTTCTCATCATGAGGAAAAAAACTCGTTTTCTTCTTTTTACTTTTTGTTGCGTATGAGTTGACAGATG